GCGCGGTGCTCTGCCTCCGCCTGGCCCCGCCACTGCGCCCGGCCGCGTGAGCCCGCAGTCGGGGGCGGCCCAGAGGGGCACTTCGCCCGAGGGGGAGGCACCGGGGCTGAGAGCTTTCCTATAGGCGACAGCCCGTGCAGCCCGGCTCTCGCACGCTCCCGTCCGAGATGACTAGTCTCTGCCCTGCCTTCTGCTCTTCAGGTCCTTGACAGGCGCCGGCCTGTGTCCCTGTAAAGATGAAGGTAGGTAAGAGAGGCCTTGATATACTGAACTGTGCAGGAAGGGATACCAGCTCGGAACTGCATAGAAAGAAAGCTGTTTCCCCTTCTTTTTTTTTATAATTACTGCACCCAGTTTGAACAAGTTGTAAATTCATTAACAACCCTGTTTGTTTGTTTTTTATTTTAAATACTGTGTTTTTAATTCAAATAATATTTAGGCACGTCCCTCTTCAAATTATTGGAGGCTTCAGAATAAGAGGGACAATGTCACGTTTCCATTTCAGGGAGCCTCAGAGAGATGGCAGACGGTGTCTCGGCTTCAGTTTCATTTTTTATCATTGGCTTTCTCCCCCTTTCTTTGTAAATCAGGTGTGAACATGCCCAGGGTTGCCAGCTCTCCTGAATCTTGCAATATTTGGCTTTTTACTTGGGGTCCCAGGTCTTGGATGAAAGGTGTTACATGTACAACTTTATTGCATGAAGTTTTCACCTAAAATTCCCAGCTCTAATTCATTGTTGATTGCAAACCATTAGAAACGCGTTTCCTCCTGTGCTCACAATTTCAAAAATACCAGAAGACAAGGAAAAACAACCCACTTTTCTCTTAATTTTATGAGTCTTAAGCCCTTTTTTTTTTTTTGAGGGGAGAGTCTTATGATCTTTGAGCAGCTGGTGTAACAAAACTGCCTGTATGAATTTGTTTGCAAAACTATGCAGTTTAGCAGACTGCTTGCTCTGAAACTTCCTTTGAGTGTTAGCAGCTGGGAGATTTAGCTGATGAAGGTATATGCTATTGTTTTTTGTTCCCTTTTCCCCAAATTTGTATTAAACAGTTGTTGTTTCTTTACCTGAAATAGACTTGAATTTAGCTAAGAGATGAGCGGGGGTTTTTTTTTTTTTTTTTAGTGATTAAACAAATCTCAGGTGCAAGTCTGAAATTTGCCGCTTTTCTGCATACAGGTGCACAAACCAAACCTTGTTCAGATGACTGGTCGTGAGGAGACGGTTGAAACAATGTGAAGATGGGGAGAGTGAAATTTCATTGAAAGAAGTTTGCAAATCTTATTTGTTGGTTATCCGCCTCGGCAACCCAATTTGGATTGTTAGGATGCGGTTGAGGAGGCTGTATAGCATCCCAGTAATGCCACAAGGGGCTGGGCTGGTGTTATACTCATATGGGCTCCTCATATGGGCTATGTGTCGTAACTTCGTGAGGAGTGGTGCTCTGAGGTCTCAGAGCAGTTACTTGGATTGGTCACACTCGGGGCAGATCCAGAGGTGGTGCAGGGGTGTGGTTGCACCCCCTTTTCAGACTGGACCATGGTGCTGGATCCCATGAGGACTTGAAAAATGTCCCCAAAGCCAAAGAGAATTCCCCCTTCCCCTTTGTCCTCAGAGGCATGCCCCCCACCCCCTTTCTCTGTCCCTCTCCTTTCTACCCAGGGCTGCTTTCCCAAGTGTCCTGGGGGTAGGGGAATATTCAGAACTGCTCCTACTCCAGCTGTTTGCTTTTTTTTGTTTTGTTTGTTTTTTTCTGTGCTTGCCTAGGGCAGCAACAGTGGCAGCAGCTCCTTGCACCTGCTCCTGTGGGGACCAGGCAGTGTGGGAATCCACCCCCTCCCCATTGCTGCTGCCACGGTGGCTGTCCCAGCTGAGCCCAGTCCCTGTGCAGCCTGGCTGGAGTAGGCAGGAGCAGCTGTGAAGCTTCCCCACTGCCAGGGCAGCAGGGAAAGCAGGAGCAACTGGAGGAGGTGGAGGGGATATGCCTCTGAGCACAGAGGAGAAAGTGGTGATGCTTACCTGCTTTGGGAACTTAAAAAATATCCCACGAGGCTCCTGCTGTGCACAGGCTGCCTGCACAGATGGGTTGCAGGGGTGGAGGATGGGAGCAGGAGTGCAGCCACCCTTGCAGCACAGGTGGCATCTTCTGCACCCCTGCCCCCTCCATCCTGCCAAATCTTGGATCCACCCCACTCGCACCTAAAACCAGTTCTGACTACATTTGATGCTCAAAATGTCTTTGTGGAATAAGAGCAACTTCATGTTTAGTAATGGATTGAGGATAAATCTCCAATGTAGCTGTACTGAAGCAAGTGACTTCTGTTGGGTAAGCAACCAGAAGATAGAACATACTCTACCCACTCATGTCTGCATCCCTTTTTTCGATGCTGTGGCAATGTACAGACATACACAGTAGTTGTTGCAGTCTAAAAAAGTTACTTCCAGTTCCAACCTAGGGTAAGAGATTTTGACTTCAGTAAACCCTAGTATGATGCTGCATTAGGACGAGATGGCTGTGTAACTTCTCTTCCCCATCAAAGCAGAATTCCTCTGCCTTCGTGTGCATATGCACTGTCAGCAAGATCTTAATGACATTTACACCGTTCCATGACTTACTTGGTATATGAATAAAGTTATGCCCAGATATTCTGCTCAGGAGTTCACAGTGCACTGTGCCTTTGAGTTAATAGAATGATCATTCTGTTGTACCACTTTAAGATGGTTTGCATCTAATCTAACTTGTACTGGAATACTTTCTAGAAATCATAATACTTACGGAGATGCTGATAGGACACTCTATCTGCTTTTATGCATGGAGTCACAATTGGATGTACCAAGCTGGTTGTATTTTCTGTACATGGTTATGAACCTCTATTCATAGTGCATCTGTACATACAGTTCTCAGCACTGTGAAAAAGATTACAGAAGAGCTGCCAGTCAAAACCATGTTACCTATTGAGCTTTGAAAGGTTGGAGTAAATTTTTCATCTCTGCCCTCAAGGTAAGGTTGTTCAGCCTGGAGGAGCTGAAGGACTGATGATCCTTAAGAAGACAGAGGGCTGTTTGCCCAGGAATGGGGAGGAGACCTGATAATATGGCTATTTCGGCAAACTGATTCTGTGGAGTGGATCTGCTAGCCGCAGCAGCCTGCAGTTTTGAGAAAAGGTGTGGTAAGCTGCAGACTTGTGGCTTGAGTTCGAATCCTTTTTTTGCATTGACGGCTATTAATGTTTGAGCCCTTCATAACCCTTATTACAATTATACTCAGAGTAATTATGATTCACAGATACAAATACTGAGAACTTGCTTGATGGGAGCTGGGAATTGAGTAGAGCTGGGAATTGAGCCTAGCTTTCTAATAGTATAGTGCCAAGTCTCAGTAAGTTTGCCACACAGCTTTTACAAATAACCTGCCAGATGGGGTAATGCAGTGAAGCATTGTGGCTAAACCAGAAACCCTTTGGATTCTGTAGTTAGGCTAAGCGAGTTGATTCTTTAATTTGAGCAGGAAAGGCATGATATGGTATGATATTATATCATATGTTTTTAAACATTCAGAGGTCCCAAATTCAGTCTCTGCTGACCATGAAATGAACATTGGTTCCCAGATCCGAGACTGTAAAATAAGAACCTCAGTTCTCGTCGTTTTGTTGCCTTCTGCCTATGTAACTCCAGAGCCTGATTTTATAGATTGCTTCCTGGCAGATAAATTTCATTCTCAAGGTATAACTTGTGTTGTGTCCTCATAATCATTGATGGACAACAATTCTGGAGTCCAGTTGTGCTTCTCTGTAAGCCATGGGAAAAGTGCAGGGAAGGAATTACTTCTAGTTTTCCTTCTCGATGCTATTCCAGCAGAGATGGGGGTGAGGTGTATTTTGGGGGTGAGGTGTATTTTGGGTAGGAGAAGGTTTTCCTAAACGGTGGAACAAGTAAGGGTTCCCTGGGTTTTGTAAAGCAAATCTGAAATATTGCATATGTTGAATCCTTTTTTCATCACTCATGATGCAAGTCAGCTTTTTAAACTTAAATCTTGTCTTTCACCTTGTAAGAACTGGGACTTTCCATGTATGAAAACTTGCAGTTTGTTTCCATTAGGCTCTTGCCATTTTTATTGTTTGCATCTGGTTCCCTGCTACATGCAGGCTTTGTGGAGAGTGATACAATGCTGATAAAATGTGGAGAAATATCAGTTTTCCTTTATAAAGTATTCATAAGAGCATCTATTGGTAACCATGCCGAATTTGTCTTGAAGATCATGCTAGTGTGAATGATGCTGTAAAGATAATCTCTAAAATGTGAAAAATCAAGTATACCACCTTTCACACAGTATTGTGATGGGATCCCCTGGTTGGTCAGCCATTCAAGATTTGAGTTTCCCATGAGGATGACTGCAGGAGAAGATGGGGAGGGGAAACTCCCCAGGAATCCCCTCCTGGAGTTCCTCACAAATTGCTCTGTTTTTAGGGGCAGAATAAATGCAAGTCCAGCCTTCAAGAACATTTGTTGCAAGATATCAAAGGAACAGCTCAGAGCTCTCCACATTCAAGGCTTTGGCAACACTGTCTTACTAGAAACCCTTGTTTTTAAGCAAAGCTTTGAAGGAGACTACTTTTCCTGTGAAACTGTGTCTGCCTCTAGCACCATCTTTTCCATCCAGGTTCTCTTGCTCCTTATCTGGTTTCCTCAGTTAGGAGCCCTTGGAAAGCCAACTACAAATGGGGAGGTTGGTGCAGCTTCTAACTTCCATTGTGAGAAGGGTTGAGATTTGTTCATGTGTTTATAGCTGCTGTTTCTGTAGTGTTTTCTTTACTATTTTGTTGGACTTAAGATGTGGAAATGATTCTGTAGTACTCCCTATAGCTTTTTTGGTCTTGGGTCTCTTATGAAAAGAACTATTTTAATCTAGCTCCTATATAAGATTAAACAGGTGTTTGTTAGCTTTTTCTGCTATATTTGTGTATTGAAAGAAATCTGATAAAGTCATTTATGTGTAAACTCTTGGCTCAGTTTATGAAAATTTGTGTTGAGAGTGAGTTGAGAAAATTTCATAGGAATATATATTTTTGTCAACTTTAACAAAGCAGGACTTTTTGCAAAAATATTTACCCTATTCCCTGAAGAGAAGGGGGAGAAAAACATTTTCTTGATTATTTTGCAAGGTTCATCAATATAATGGTCCCAGATATTGCAAATACTGTACAAAAGAAGTTTGCTGGGAAAAGCAAGGTTACTTGAAT